ATAGAGACAATAAATGACTGAAACCCAGGAATTAATTTTGATTTGGAATTGAAACAGTCAGGAAAGTATGTACAATGAAGTTATGTACAACCTTAAACAACTGCAAGGGTGCTCAAAAGCTAGTTCAAAGAACCATCAAAGTACCTGGGCCCCACATTGGGAATCGCTCCTGCAATACTGTACCAAGGCGTCCGCGGATTGGCATAGCGAGAGCTGCTGGAACTTTGCCCCAGTTGGGAACTTTCTGGCCCCACTGGACTAGGCAACCGCCCCAGCTGGCCTTTCTGCAACACCCATTGTCACCTCCTAGTCCACAATTCAATAATTTCACATACCTCAGCATTCCCACAGGTGAAAACCTCGCCTTTGCTACTCAGGATGACCGTATGGTTGCTACCTGCAGCCACATGGACAGCGCTGGTCGGCAGCTTGACCGACTGGATGCTATTCTTGGCCAGAATGTCTCCGCATCCCAGCTGCCCATACAGGTTCGAGCCGAAGGTCAACACCTGCCCGTTCTGCAGCAGGAGGACGCTGTGGTGCAGCCCGCATGCTATCTGAACCTGCCAGAAGGCCCAGCAGTGTCAATGCGTGAGCAGCATTTTTCCTGGGTCGCTTACCACTGGGCTGTCTGAAGGCAAAAGCAAGTTGGCTGGAGGTAAGCAGGCCACTCGAGCTGCGTCGCGTTCCACATCGGAGCCCGTCTGTTCTTTCACGGTGCCCAGCAAGTTATTCTGGCGCACTGCGCTGCTGGCTTTATGCGTGGGGGTTGCCAGAAGAGATCTGCAAAAAAATTTCCAGTTTCTAGGACGAATTTAAGGTGAAAAGCTTGCCTGGATGACTTGAGTTTGGCCACTTGCTTGCTGGATCCTGCCCCTGATTTTTTGCTCTTACTCTTCCGATCTTCCAGTCTGCACTGGATCTGCTCGTGCAGTTTGGTTCGCTGTTTGGCCGGAATGATTTTGTTGTCCCTCATCATTCCCGCTAGATCGGCCAGTTCTGAGTTATCCACCACCTCTCTGGCGCATATTCGGCAGCATCCGCAAATCGCACATCCGCTGTCTCCTTCGCCGCATCCACACTCTCTGCAGTGGCAAAAAACAAAAATTATGTCTCCCTTCAAACAATCATAGCACTCACTGTCCAGGATTCCTCTCTGAGCTCATGGAGCTCAGGCAACTGATGGAATACCCTGTGCATTCTCTGCACATGGTGCAGACCATGCAAAGATCCTCATGCCAAGCATGACTCCCAGGAGTGCAAATGTTTTGTTGGGCGTCCTCGCCCACATTGCCCTCAGAGCCTCCAGCCATGTTGTCGGAGTCTTTCTGCTGCAGTGCTTCCACATCTTCAAAGTAGTCTTGTTCTTCCTGCACTGGACCGGTGTCCATTGCAACCACCAGTATCGGATGACCTGAGGAAAGCACGTTAAATTCCAGGCGGTTTTCTGAAACACTTCTGATGATGCCTACAGTCTTTGGTGTTAGCTTTTGCAAATTCCCGGCCGCATTGGAACTTATTGTTAATCCCGAAGGTGTACACTTGGCCCTTGGAAGTGAGTGCGATTCCATGGGCTTTTCCCAGTGCGACTTGCGTTACACATTCGCCTTTGAGGGCAGGAACAACACCTGGGAAGAGTTTTGAGTGTGACTGAGTTCAACTGATGGAGAGTTTTTACCAGTTGAGGAATCCGCATGGGTGGTGTCTTTGCCAAATATCAGCAACTCGCCATCTCGAGTCACCAGAGCGGTAGTTCCATTGTTACAAGCCCCAGTTACCACGTGTAAACCGTCAACTTTTATCATTTTTTTCGGTTTTACTGGTTTGGGTTGTCTTCTCACTTTGTTCTGGTCGCCGTCCTCGCCCCTTCGAGCCGTTCCTAATTAATATCAAATTGAACTAGTAGAAACATTTTTTGTTGTCGAAAAATGGCAAAAATGCGAGACATTTTAGCACCCTGTGGCATGAGAATAAAGCGTTTGCTCTCAGAGGGGTAAGAGCAATTTTTTTTGGAAATGATGCAACCATTCAGCCTTTAGTCTATGGACCGGCAACAATAAAATAAAAAAATTTCATAATTTTCGAAAATATGACAGATACGAAAAAGTTGTAAATGAAAATTTTTTATAGCTTGTAGCTAGAAATTCTTGATTTGAATGTATCAAAGTTTTTTTGAGTTCAAATATGTTTTCACAAATTAATTCGACCTTTAGTCTTTGAGCAGCATCCAAACAATTGCGGGCTTCATAACTTAATCGGATATGACACACATTTTACTTGAAATTCATTTTTGAAAATTTTTGATTTGAATGTATTAAAGTTTCTTTGAGTTCAAATATGTTTTCTAAAAATAATTTCACCTTTAGTCTTTGAGCAGCATCCCGACAATTGTGGGCTTCATAATTTAATCGGATATGACACACATTTTACTTTAAATAAATTTTTGGAAATTTTTGATTTGAATGTATTAAAGTTTCTTTTAGTTCAAATACGTTTTCTAAAAATAATTCCACCTTTAGCCTTTGAGCAGCATCCAGACAATTGCGGGCTTCATAATTTAACATCCAAAAATATGACAAACATTTTACTTTAAATTAATTTTTTGGAAATTGTTGATTTGAATGTATGAAAGTTTCTTTGAGTTCAAATATGTTTTCTAAAAGTAATTCCACCCTTAGCCCTTGAGAAGCATCCAGACAATTGCGGGCTTCATAATTTAAGCGGATATGACACACATTTTACTTTAAATTAATTTTTGGAAAATGTTGATTTGAATGTATTAAAGTTTCTTCGAGTTCAAATATGTTTTCTAAAAGTAATTCCACCCTTAGCCCTTGAGCAGCATCCAGACAATTGCG